AAAAAAAATAAGCAAGAGTTATTTTATCTAAAATAATGATAACAGTACAGAATAGTTAATACATAAAGTAGTAACATACTCATTTATTATCATTATTATCATGTACTATATATAATTGTATGTGCTATACTTTTATATGACTAGTAGCACAGTAGGTTTACATCAGCACCACCACAAAAATGTGAGTAGAGGAGGATCAAGATGGCGGATGAGAAACACTGCCAGAAAGAGTGTCTCTGCAGAAAAGACAGATTCTAGCAGAAATTAGAAAAAAGAAGCAAGAAGGTGAGCATACAGCGGATGAGGGCCGGAGGAGGGGTACCTGAGACCCGGGAGAACTCCATGGAAGGAGGCTTCGGAGCAGAAACTGGAAGCTGAGACTGCCGGAGCAGCCGGAGACCAGCGGGAAGGGTAGGTGGATAAAACACCTTTCCCCTCCCCTGCATTTGGACTGCTGGTGGGTCCCCAGCGGGTGGAGAGACCTGCGGACACGCAGCCAGAGACAGCCGCCGCCAGCTAGCAGTGAGCCTGTAGCAGACACGGCACCAGACTCCCAAATCCCTGTGCACCTCATGTGCACAGACCTGAGCCGCGTTGGCAGGTGCCATATTGCCTCCTTCTCCCGTCTGCCGACCCTACCTGCAGCTGCCCAGAGAGACAATACAGCCACCAGCCGGAGGCACCTCCAGGGAACAGGACCTTCCCTTTTGGGACCCTACAGCTGACTCAGGGGAACTCAGACTGTGAGCTCCCTACCCGCCAGCCCTCCCAGGTGCTGCTGGCATGGTGTTCCCAGGAGAACGGTGCCGACTCAGAGGCTGAGAGACAGAGACACAGCTTGGGCTCCCTGTGGGTGAATTGGGACCGGAACTCCTCTCCCTGGTGGGGATACAGTTTGAACTCTGGGACCCAGAGGTCGGACTTGCAGACCAGATCCCGTACACCGAGGTCTAGCATTGCCCGGGCCACAGAAGGGATATTTGTGACAGCCCACTGAGGTGTGTGTGCCTCCAGGGCAGATCAGCGTCCTAGAGGGCAACCCTCCCACCAAAGGGAGGCTGTGGCCCCAGCCCAGGCAGCCATTCTGCGCAGGAACCTCCCTGCAGGCATCACAATCCGGGGAGGCCTGGTGGCATGTGGTCTGGCCTGCTGGCAGAGCCCAGGAGTAGCTGCGGAGTTGGGGAGGGTGGAAAGAAGTGAGGCCCGCTCCAGACTGGCGGTCTCAGACAGCCCCACCCCACAAGCAGACTTTCTGGCTGAGCGGGACCATTCCAGCCCTGCCCTGACAGCTTTTCCTGGAAGCAGAGAACAGAACTTTGACCCCTGCTAATTGCATTGGTGGTGCCTGAGGCAGGCTTACCCAACCCAGCTCCGCCCAGAACAAGAGCTGATAAAGACACAAAAAACAACAGCATAGCCTGTTCCTCCAAGCAAGTGCCACCTACTGACAGGGACGGCATCCTGCACAGCCTTATCACGGCACCCACTGACTCATTATACAGAGGTGGTCGAATCTCACCCCACAGACACCACCTAAACGGCTCAGAAACTAAACAAGGCGTGTGAATATCCAAACAAAAACTAAAGGAAAGAAACAACATCTGATCAACATGGGAAGAAATCAGCGAAGGAACTCAGGAAATATGAAGAACCAAACGGAAACACCCCCCCAAAGAGGACACACAGCCCCCTAGAAATGGACACCAACCAAAATCAGGCAACCAAAATGACAGAAGAGGAATCCGTATGTGGATCATAAGAACACTCACCGAGCTGCAACAACAACTCAATAACCAACACAAAGAACCACCCAAAAAGCCTCCAGGATCTGGAAAAAGAAATGGACGCAATGAAGAAAAGTTTAACTGAACTCCTGGAAATGAAGAATCAATTCAGGGAACTACAAAATACAGTGGAAAGTCTCAAGAACAGGGTAGATCAAACAGAAGAAAGAATCTCAGAGCTTGAAGATAACACCCTCCAACTAAATAAAACCATCACAGAGATAGAGAGAGAGAAACAAGAGAAAAGAGCAAGCCTACAAGAGATGTGGGATTATGTGAAGAAACCTAATGTGAGGGTCATAGGGTTACCAGAAGGGGAAGAAGACAACACCCAAGGGTTGGACAAGCTATTTGAAGATATAATAGAGGAAAATTTCCAGGCCTTGCTCAAAATCTTGATATACAAGTTCAAGAAGCTCAGAGGACCCCTGGGAGATTCAATGCAACAGGAAGACGTCATGACATGCAGTCATCAGACTGACCAAAGTATCAACTAAAGAGGCCCTTCTAAGAGCTGTAAGACAAAAGAAGCAAGTGACATACAAGGGAAAGCCAATTCGCATAACACCAGACTTCTCTAATGAGACTTTACAAGCAAGGAGAGACTGGGGCCCCATTCTCACTCCTTCTGAACAAAACAATGCCCAGCCTAAGAATCTTCTTCCCTGCAAAACTAAGCTTCATATATGAAGGAGAAATAAAGACATTCTCAGACAAGCAAAGTCTCAGAAATTCACCAAGACAAGACCAGCCCTACAAGAATACCTCAAAAACAGTGATATGCACGGAACACCATAATAAAAACTCATGAATATAAAAATAACCAAAACCAAAAGATTAAAGGCCAGATACAATGCTCAAGAGAGAAATCAAAGCAACAACATCCAACCCAACAGAATGAACAGTAATCTACCTTACCTATCAGTTCTCTCAATAAATGTGAATGGCTTAAACTCTCCACTCAAGAGACATAGGCTGGCTGAATGGATAAGAAAATACAGGCCAAGTGTATGCTGTCTTCAGGAAACACATCTAACCTGCAAGGATGCATATAGACTAAAAGTAAAAGGGTGGAGATCAGTATTCCAGGCAAGCAGAAGCCAAAAGAAGGCTGGCGTGGCAGTTCAAATTTCAGACGATTTAGTTTTTAACCAACAAAAGTAGTGAAAGACAAAGAGGGTCATTATATAATGGTGAAGGGCACACTTCAACAAGAAGAGATAACAATTTTAAATATATATGCACCCAACTTAGGTGCACCCAGTTCATAAAGCAAACCTTACTGGATCTAAGCAAAAGGATTAATAGCAACTCCATAATCACTGGAGATTTCAACACCCTACCGATGGCACAAGACAGATCTTCCAAACAGAAAATTAATAAAGAAATAATGGACTTAAACAAAACCCTGGAACAACTGGGTCTGACTGACATCTACAGGACATTCTACCCCAAATCCACTGAATATACTTTCTTCTCATCAGCTCATGGGACATTCTCTAAGATTGACCATATCCTAGAGATTTACACAAAGTAAATCTCAAGAAATTTAAAAAAAAAATGACTCATACCATGTACCTTCTCAGATCTCAGTGGAATAAAACTAGAAATCAACCCTAACTGAAACTCACATTTTTACACAAAAACGTGGAAATTAAACAACCTCCTACTAAATGATTACTTCATAAATGAAGAAATCAAGATGGAAATAAAAAAATTCTATACTCCTACACTGCTGTGGGGACTTCAAATTTAGTTCAACCCTGTGGAAAGCAATATGGAGATACCTTAAAGCGATACAAGTGAATCTACCATTTGATCCAGCAATCCCATTGCTGGGCATCTACCCAAAAGATCCAATGACACTCTACAAAAAAGACACCTGCACTCGAATGTTTATAGCAGCACAATTCATAATTGCAGAGGCTGTGGAAACAGCCCAAGTGCCCATCAATCCAGAATGGATTAATAAAATGTGGTATATGTATACAATGGAGTACTATTCAGCTCTAAAAACCAATGGTGATATAGCACATCTCATATTTTCCTGGTTAGAGCTGGAACCCATACTATTAAGTGAAGTTTCCCAAGAATGGAAAAACAAGCACCACATATACTCACCAGCAAATTGGTATTAACTGAACAGCACCTAAGTGGTCACATAGGTACTGCAGTAATGAGGTATTGGGCAGGGGGGAGGGTGGTATATACATATATAATGAGTGAGATGTGCACCATCTGGGGATGGTCATGCTGGAGACTCAGCCTTGTGAGGGGGGAAAAGGACATTTATTGAAACCTTAAAATCTGTACCCCCATAATATGCTGAAATAAAAAAAAAAAAAAAAAAAAGAGCCGGAAGGGACATTTGGTGAAACGTGAATAAGGGTTTCCGGTTATAAGGAAGTTTTTCGTTCTATGCTTGCAACTTTTCTGTATGTTTGAAATTAAAATCAATTGTCTATTTCCTTTCTCTGTAAATAAAAAAACATTAAAAAGAAAGAAGAAAATATTAATAAAATAAAAAATGAAATTAAAATCATTAAAAATATAACTAAAAAAGAAAAAAATGTGAGTAATAAGTCATGCTACAACATTATGACAGCTACAGCATCACTAGGAGACAAGAATTTTTCAGTTCTATTATAATCTATGGGACCACTATAGTATATGCTATTGTTTACTGAAATGTCGTTATGTGGGGTATGACTGTGAACAGGTATATTTGAGAATATCTGTAGGATAAATTCGCAGGGGGAAAGATGTATGCAGATGGAATTTTGATAGATCCGGCCAAATGGTCCTTCATAGGGGAACAAAGGAGATTTAATTTGTAAATATCTAACAATCTTTTTCTTTAATCTGGAGGAGGACTGTAAAATAAAAAAAATGTGAGTAATAAGTCATGCTACAACATTATGACAGCTACAGCATCACTAGGAGACAAGAATTTTTCAGTTCTATTATAATCTATGGGACCACTATAGTATATGCTATTGTTTACTGAAATGTCGTTATGTGAGGTATGACTGTGAACAGGTATATTTGAGTATATCTGTAGGATAAATTCGCAGGGGGGAAAGATGTATGCAGATGGAATTTTGATAGATCCCGCCAAATGGTCCTTCATAGGGGAACAAAGGAAATTTAATTTGTAAATATCTAACAACCTTTTTCTTTAATCTGGAGGAGGACTGTAATATTTCACACAGGAAACCATCCAGCTTACTTTCCAGGAGGACATGAAATGATCATTTCAGAGAGCTGCCACCTATGTACTGGGAGGTTGTCAGCACTTAACAGGTACCAGCTTTTGAAATCCTTGCAATATCCTGCAAAGCAGGTACTGTTACTACCCTCATGTTAAATATGGGGAAATTTATGGTGGGAAGCTAAGTAACTTCTTTTAGTTCACTCAAATAGAAAGCAATGGACTAGGATTTTAACTCGTGTATACTTACTCCTAGGCTAAGACAGCTAAGCCATAACTTCTCTAAAATTATTATAAAAATAAAAGTATAATTAAACTAATATTGCTATACTATCCTAAAACAGTTTCCTAACATGTCCTATATGGAAAATAGCTTTTATAAAAAATAATCCATAAATTCTATTTTATATACATGTATATATGTGTATACACACACACATATATATATATATATATATATACACACATACATATAAACACACACACATATGCATATGCTCTTTGTGCCTCTAGGATACCAGAGAATTTCTACTGGACTCACTTTTAAAATTCTGTTATTCTACATGCAGGCTTTTTAGAAAATGTATTTTCTAAAACATGTTTTAGAAAATATATATAAGTATCCACAATTTCCTAGTGGCTTACTTATCTCCAGTGGCTCATGCCTGTAATCCTAAGCACTTTGGGAGGCCAAGGCAGAAGGATTGGTTAAGGCCAGGAGTTTAAGACCAGCTTGAACAACGTAGGAAGACCCTGTCTCCACAAAAATAGAAAATTATTTCAAACCATTTTCTCATGAGAAAATAAAAGAAAAAGAAAGAAAAAAAAAAATTAGCCAGGCATGGTGACCTGTGCCTATATAGTCCCAGCTACTTGGGAGGCTGAGGCAGAAGGATTGCTTGAGCCCAGGAGTGAGACCTGTCTCAAAAACAAACAAAAAACCCCCCAAAACCCCACCATCTTCAATATATATTAATTTAATACTCAAATCACTCCTGTGAGTTATAAGCAGTAATATCAATATACTGATTTTATAGATGAGGAAATTGAGCCTCAGAGAGGGGGATTGATTTGCCAAACGTCACCAAGATAGTGAGGATGATGGTGGTAATGAGGGGTAATGTTTACTATATGCAATCACATTGCTAGTCCCACTTTGATCTTTATGACAATCCTATGAAGCAGTTACTCTTACTATCCTCATTGTACAGATGAGAAAATAAGGACTTAACCCTTTGCACTCGGATGTCGAGTGTGGATAGTGTCGAGTAGATAATGAGAAAAAAGCAAGCGAGTGCAAAGGGTTAAAGAAATTTCGAAACTTTCCAAAGGCCGTACAGCTAGGAAGGGGTAGAGTTGGGCTCTTCATCCAGGTTTGTTATGATGGTCAGTTTGATGTGTCAATTTGGCTAGACTAGGGTCTCCACTGTAGTCCTCAAACAGCAGCCTAGGTGTTACTGTGAGGGTATCTTGTAGATATGATTAAACTCCATCATCGATTGGCTTCAAGTAAGGGAGATCAACCTAGATAATCTGATTAGCCTAACAAACAGTTGAAAGGCAGAAGAGCAGAGCTGAGCCTCCCTGAAGGGGAAATTCTGCCTAGGGACTGCAGCTTCAGCTGCCTGAGGGTTCAGCTGTCCTTTGTGATGGCCTGTCTTAAGGATTTCATACTTGCCTAGCCAGGCCCACAATCATGTGAGCCAATTCTTAGCAATAAATCTCTTAATCTAGATCTCCTACTGGTTCTGTTTCTCTGATTGAACCCTGACTGATACATCTGTCTAAGCCCAAAAGCTTAAGCACTAACCTCAATGGTTTACTCATTCTTTGTATATGGCAAATTACAAATTTGAACCCAAGTCCAGACCTCTGTACACATGCTTCTGAATCACACATTATACTTACCATACTCTGCTTTATGCTGTTAGTTTTTTATATTTCATACTCTCCAATCTGATGAGCAACACTTTGAAGGCAGACACCAGGTTCTGCTTATCTCCTTTTTCCTATACTGCAGCATGCATGTCAAAGGACACAGAGTGATTTCTATCATACCTGCACAGAGCCGTAGTATGTCATTTACCTTCTTGCTTTTGTACTTTCTCAAATTTGGGGGCCATCATCATCGTTTATAAATTTTCTTTCATCTTTCTATTTTAATTTAAGTTATAGGCTTTTAAGAACTAAGAACTTTAGTTGATGTTGCTGTCCCTATCTTATCAATTTTTATAAATTGTCCTGGGTAATGTAAAACGTGAATGAAAAAAAGAGATGATACTCTTTCAGAGTGTTGGGTGGTGATTTGGTTAGCTATTATCTGAGTTACAGTCCTTCTAGAGCTGGACCTCTGTAACAAACATTGACAAGTAAGATTAAAAATTTTTCAATTCCCTAATAAGTACAGCTGGAATGGGAGAAACATGTGACTTACTATAGATAAACCCTAATTCCAAGGTCAAAATGTTATCAAGGAGCAGATCCTAGGGGCTGGTTAAGTGATACGCCTTGAAAGACAATACTTTTCTGTTTTTCTCCTGCTTTATTTGTATTTCATTTCTTAAGATCTTTCTTTAACATTTTCTAATCTCATCAATTAGGCTGAAAATAAATCCTCTGCTAAGGATTTACTTAAGAGTAAGAGGTCCTCCTTAGATTTTCTTACAATTTAACAGGCCCATTTTCAACTGTAATAAATTCTAGTTTCACTTTCATATACTGTGGTCACATGACTTTCATAGTTCTCAGAGATATGACTGATATTAAAAATCAAATAACAATTGGTAATTGTATAACACTTGACAATATTATCACGAATCAATAAAACTTTGTTTTGGGGCACGAGCAAAAAATCCGTATGTTCATTGCTATTATAAAGACTAAGAAAACAAGGTATAAAAATAGCAGGCCCTTTATTAGCATTTATATCAGTTACAATCAGAATTAAGAATAGAATTTAAATTCTGAATATGGTTAAGGATTAAGAAATTTTATTCGTTTAGATGGATCAAGTCTATGTGAGCTGAGCCACAAAATGTGGAATGTGTCTCATTTTCCTATGACAGTTACAAAAATTTGTATTAATGTTTATATAGGGTACATTTATTTTATAGAGAAGGAAAATCATAAACATCTTGTTTTGAAAAATCTTGGCACCAATATAAAAGCCCAGATGATTATTTAAGTTTACTCCAGGTAATTTAACTACCAGTATTGACTATGTTGCTTTTTTTACTTTGCCTTATAGAAAAAGTGTAGGTATCTATGTTCTTAATACCCTTCCTAAATCTTTTTTTCTTCTGCAAGAATTTTCTAAGGGAATACTCCCTACATTGGAGTCATGCAGAAGATATGTAAACATCCAACACACATTTACAAATCTGAAAAGTATAAGGTTGAACATGTTCAACTTTTCCTAATATAGGCTACCAAGGAAAATGAGTATTAAAAATTGTTTTGAACCAGTAAGGCACAATGAAAAGTATCACAAGAAAAAAATCACTTGTTTACTCCCAAGCACAAATTGCTTGATAAGGAGGCTTATTTAGATTAAGTAAGCATAGGCAGAGTAGCTGGGATGTCAGTGATTATTACTGTTGAGCATATAAGGTTATAGAGCACTTCAGTAATACCAAAGTCAAATTCTTTTAAAAGGATTCCATTTATGGGCTGGGTGAGGTGGCTTAGGCCTGTGATTCTAGCACTCTGGGAGGCCAAGACGAGAGGATCATTCAAGGTCAGGAGTTCAAAACCAGCCTGAGCAAGAGCGAGACCCCATCTCTACTAAAAATAGAAAGAAATTAATTGGCCAACAAAAAAAAATATATAGAAAAAATTAGCTGGGCATGGTGGCACATGCCTGTAGTCCCTGCTACTCGGGAGGCTGAGGCAGTAGGATTGCTTGAGCCTAGGAGTTTGAGGTTGCTGTGAGCTAGGCTGACACCACGGCACTCTAACCCAGGCAACAGAGTGAGACTCTGTCTCAAAAAAGAAAGAAAAAGAAAAAAGACAGGATTCCATTTATGTTATCCCTAGACAATGCAAAAAGGGCGTTTGACTTCCAGAAAATAAATAATTATTCTGCATTGCTCCTACTAGTAATGAATGTATCTGTTAACCCCATAACACGTACAAAGGACAAAGGTGCCTTGAAATTTGAAATTCCCCCAAATTCTCAGCATTTTAGGAAGACCTGTTAAAGAACACTTCTGCAAGTAGAGGATGCAACTCTCTAAAATAAGAGAACTGTCTAAAAGATGTGGCCCACTCCTGTTTCTCCAGCCACTTTCTTCGGGACATCAAACTTGGAGTCCTTTGTAGTCCTTACTACATACTGTTTTTGAGGATGCCTAAGTTGAAATCCTGCTTCCCTACTTTCTAGTATGTGATTGTGGTAACCCTTAGGGATGTTCACTAATATTCTCGCCTTCTTTAAGCATGAAGCACATTTGTACTTCTCTTCCTTGTTGAGGTAAGTCGTGACCACATGACTTCTAGGGAGGAGTGAGAGCACAAATTGCCCTCTTTCTCTTCCTCTCCTCTGCACTGCAGCCAGCTTCATTTCAGACAAAAGAGGTGCCATCGTTTTGCATCTCTGAGTGAGAACCTTAAAGCCACGCCACAATGGACAGGCAGCACAAATGAGAAATAAAACTCTGCTGTCTCAAACCACTGAGATTTTGGAGTTGTTATTATAATCTTACCTATTCTTACTACTACAGTGACCTTGGACAAATACTTAACCTATGTCTGTTTCCTTCTCTACAAAAATGGGAAAAATAATAGTACCTATGTGAGGATTGGTGTAAGGACTAAACGAGATTATCCTTTTAGTGCATGACATATCCTCAATCGTTGTTGGCTACTATTATTATTATTACCCAGAAACATGGGGGCTAAGATATTATATATTTTTAAAACTCCCAAAGTTTGCCTCCTCTATATAAAGCCTATTAAAAGAATTTTTGTTGTTGTACATCTTTCTAAAATGTATCACATACTATTATACCTTAGAGTTCTTAAGAATTTAAGGCCATCATTATAAATGTTAATTATTATACTGTAATTTGACATAGTTAAGGAGACTTTGAAT